ACATCTCTGTCTCACACTTGTCTTGCACACACACACAAACAGATTTCCTGTTATCGCTCAGCTCATCGAAAACTCAACAGAGGTGTAAAGAGTACCTGAAAACTATACTTGAGTAAAAGTACAGATACTTTACAGTGAAAATTACTCCACTACACGTTACAAGTCACCAATTCCAAACAACTTGAGTGAAAGTCTTAGAGTATCTGATTTAAAATTTATACTATATAAATATAATTTTATATACTTTAATATTCTTTATATATAATTTTATATATTTTATATACTATAAAATGTTATACTTTATACTAGTATTTTACTTATACTAAATATAGGCTCAAAGATGCTAACACAAAAAATAACACAAACAGGAAAGAGCTGATTTGTGAGGAGAGCAATCGCGTTTATTTTCTAAAACCAAAATAAATCGGAACACCTCAAAATTGCAAAAACTTTTATAAAATAAATTAATTAATTATATTAAAGGGGGCATAACACACACAGTTTCACCCAATCTCATGTTAATCTTGAGTACATATAGAGTACTACTGCATCCTTCATATCTCCAAAAAGTCTTTAGTTTTATCATATTTATAAAAGAAAGATACAGCTTTACGATTCTCTCCAGAAAAGCCGAGCTCCTGGAGGCGCGCCGTGGGCGGAGCTAAAGAGTGACGAGCACTTGGAAGCGCGAAAACTACAAAGTATTCAAAAACTCAAGTACAGCAATTAGTTACATTTACTCCAATACTTTACGCCTCTGAAACTCAAGCATACTGAAGCACTCAGAGACAGTCTAAAGAACACTCTTTAGTACAGTGAAGCAAATAATATTAATATTTCAGATAGAAATCAAATTTCCGCCACAGAGAGTTCTTATAAACCGGATCAAATGTGATTCAGGTGCTGATTTATCTACAGACTGCAGCTGTAAGGAGCCTCAGAGGTGTTTGTATGCGGTTCACTGTTTGTGAAGCCACAGGCTCCTTTATTCAAACAATCCAGCACCGTCGTCACGGAGACGAACAGGAATGTCCCAGGTCCCGTGACCAGGGGCCTCACTAAGGTCCTTTACAGTACAGACTGATTAGCGGCTGCAGGAGGAGTCCCACAATAATGAGCTCTCAGGCGTGAATCAAAGAAACAGCTCTGAAGAAGTCTCTTCTGCTCACCAAAACTGCATTTATTTGATGAAAACTCTGAAATATTTTTACTATTTCAAACAGCTGTTTTCTATGTGAATCTCTGTTAAACTGTAATGTATTTCTGTGATGCGCAGCTGTATTTTCAGCATCATTCCTCCAGTCTTCAGTGTCACATGATCTTCAGAAATCAGTATAATATGCTGATTTGCTGCTCAACAAACATTTCTGATTATTATCAACAATATTTTTGTGATACATTTTATTTTTCAGGATTCACAGATGAATAGAAAGTTCAAAAGAACAGCATTTATTTGAAATATAAATATTTTGTAACATTATAAATGTCTTTATGGTCACTTTTGATCAATTTAATGCGTCCCTGCTGAATAAAGTATTGAATTCTTTGAGTTCACTGGTTGTTTTCATTATTTCATGGAAAGCATCAGAGTTTTGACTCAAAGGCCCCCTGCTGTCCAACACAATATACTTTAGGAGCCCATAAGCACTAAGAAATGTGTTCTGGTATTTCTATTTCTACTGTACTTGACAACGCTGCTAGTTTTTAAACTTTTCCATTAATAGAAACTTTGAGAATTTATGTATTAAATTAAATAACCATGATTTTGTTATTCAAAAATATTCACGATTCTAATCTGAAGTGTTCTTCAATAAAAACAGTAGTCTATGAAAGACAAAAACAAAACAGAATCATAGCAAAACATACTGTGAAAAAAGAGCTAAACATTTATCAATAAAACGCAGTGGTAATAATAATAAAGTACATATAAATACACACACAAAAGAACAAAATAATAAAATTAATTGTTATTTTTAAAGAATTTTTATAATAATTTTTAAAATAATTTTTTTATTATTTAATAAATTTAATTAATCATGTGCCTAAAACAGGACAAACATGCGAATTAATGCGTTTTTAGCTTAACTATGAAATTCTCAATTATTTAATTACTTCAGCAGAAATTAAAGGCAGTACATCAAATACAACCAAGAAAATTTTTTTATAAATAT